TTGACACCTCCGTTATTGCACCAAACGTCTTCAATGAGAGATGGCTTAAAGATGACTGTGTTGCCAAATTTGAACTCGAATTCACGTAAAAAACATATTACTTTGCACAACGTTGTGGAAAATATACTTCAATTTAATTTGATTGATGTAATACAGGGTGTATAAAAAAACTGAACAGATTTGAAATTGCTCTCAATTTCGCAAAACAGCTATTAGTATCCAGTTTTTTTATATATATGGCTTCTTTGGGTACTTATAATGTAGAATGAAAAAAATTTCTCGAACACAAATTTTGTAAACCAGGGGGGTGCGTCTTTTCCGACAAACTAAAAATGGCTTGCGCACGAGATTTAAAAGCTATAGTCGTATTTTGAGTTATGGATGAAAAATGTGTTGGGTGTTTAATTACTGCACGAAATTTCAGACAATTTGCTTCAGTTTAAGCCCTTCAATTATTGACGCAAATTTACATTTTTCCTAAAAAATCAGCAATGATGTCAGCAATATGTCAGCAATATGTCAGCAATATGCAAATTAGGTAAAGGCATTAATTAAGCATGCAAAACGTTGATATTTTAGGAAAAAATGAATAGTTAAAGGCCTTAAACTAAAGCAAATTGTCTGAAATTTTGTATTAAAAACCGAACAAATTTTACATCCATTAACTCAAAATACGATTAAAGCTTTTAAATTTTGTGCGCAAGCCATTTTTAGTTTGTTGGAAAAGAACCCCCCCCCCACTGGTTCACAAAATTTGAGTTCGAGCATTTTTTTTGCATTATTCTACCTTATAAGTACCCAAAGAAGCTATATACATAAAAAAACTAAATACTAAAGGCTGTTTTGTAAAATCGAGAGCAATTTCAAATCTGTTCAGTTTTTTTTATACGCCCTGTAGTGTATATATTATATATACTTCAATTGTATACTTTAATATATTAATTCTCCATAAGTGTAAATATGGTAACTGTGTCCTGGCCTTTGTGGTGAAACCCGATGAATGTCGTTGTTTATGTAAACTTTGTAAGGAAAAATGCTGGAAGAAAACATGCATGACCGTTGCCTGAGCATCCAGCACTTGATATTGGTTGTTTGAACCATTGGGTGTTAAAGTTACAAAACCCGAATAAAAGGCTGCCAAATTATACCACTCTGTATACCAAAGGGAAAAAGAGTAACCCAGAGTAAGTATTCCAATGTGCAGTTCTAGGCAATACCCCCGCCCCCCTCTAATGGAAGAGATTTACTTCATGAACCCCATCCCTCTGAATTTTTAACTGTTCCTGACAGCTTGTTTCCCCCACCCCTTTGGAAATTAAACGTTGGACTATACCAACCAAAGATATCTATGATACTAAAATAATCAAAAAATAATCTATTATTCAAATAACATATATATAAATCAATTAAATTAAATCAAATTATATTTCCCACAACTTTGTGCAAAGTAATATTTCTTACGTGTGTCCGAGTTCCAATTTGGCAACACAGTCATCTTTAAGCCATCTCTCATTGAAGACGTTTGGTGCAATAACGGAGGAGACAATGTATTTTATAAGGAGACCAGTAACCATTTTTTTGTTTTACATGGCCATCACATGTTTGTTTTATGTCACAAATATAACCAAAACGGAAATAAATAAAATCCAAAACGTACCAGGTGTCAGTTGAGGTTTCCCCAGACAATCTAGCAGACAGTGTTTGCTGCTCTTGCTCTTTCTCAGTTATAGTACTCTTCATGTATTATGTTTCTTTCAGTGGCAAGAGGTTCGACTGAAGTATCATAGGCCACGGACAAATCCACACTTTTCTCCATATTTACATCACTCCCGCTTTCACAAGAAACGTCTTCGGCAAAAGAGAGTTCGCAAGATGATTGTGTTGCAAAATTGGAGCTGTGGCTTTCGTTAGAAGACATCATTTTGAACAAAAAAGACAGTATAAGCCATTGATAATATTAATTTCTCCTTCGTGAAAGAAGCGTGTTGAGTAAATGACGTCACATCCGGCTAAGAAATCGACACCTCGCGAATTGATAACTCAGTAATGGCGGCCGAAAAATTTGCATGTTTGCGTTGAAAAAAAGGCAGAAAGAAATTGAATTGGACGCTGATATTTGGTAACTTTTTTTTCTACTAATATGCAATTTTCCATCGCAGTGGCACTTTAATTGCAATGCCTTAAAAGTTTGTTGCCGCGCGCTACGTAAAATTACTTATTCTAATCCCAATTATGCGATATATGTACACAAACTAACACCTCCACAGGTTTACCAGGTTTTAACAGACATATAAAACGAAGCAGAAACACGGTATTGCTTGCGCTAGTTTCTGTTTTGCCCCGACGGTTAATTTGTTTAATTTTCAAATTATTCTTTTACTGTCCCCCACTCCCAACGGATAAAATATATGAATTTATTTATTAATTCGTTGTCCGGTTTTTGCACAGATGAAATAAGTTGCGGATATATTTCGGCTAAATGCTATTGTTCATTCGCCGTATTCTATTGCGAATTTAAACTCTTTGATTATTTTATGTTTTTTATGGAGTTATACATGTCCATTCACGGCTATACCGATTTTACTCGAACAAAATAAGTTAAAAGCCAAAAATCGACAATAGTGTGGGGCCATGTACACGAGTTTAGGCGATTTCGCGGCCATTCTTTCCTTCTCCTTCCCTACTTTAAAGTGTATATGACATGAAATTTCTTACTTTCTTGAACGAAAGAATTCTTTAAGTTGTAGTGTAACTTACTTTTCAGTTTCGGTTTTTATGGTTTGCTCACGAGATATTTCAATTTTGCTCACGAGATATTTCAATTTGTTTGATACGTAAATGAGTGTGAATATGCATGTCCGCTAATTTATGACCAATGTGATGTCAACCAATGTGATGTCATAAATGTGTTTTGCAACCAATGTGATGTCATAAATTAGCGTACATATTCACACCATTTACATGTCAAACAAATTGAAATATATCGGGAACAAACCATAACTAGGGATCCAAGGATAGTGCAAAGTTTCACATTGAAAAAGACAGTGCAAGTGCATGGGGGCATAAAGTGGAAAACGCGGAGTCTCATTAAAATGAATCTTTAAGGAAAAATAAACTATGTTTTGAGAATATACCGAATATACCGAATATACCGCCTATATAATATCGGCACTTAATTGAATGCCGATAATGCATAATGCGTTTGGCACATGAGTAGCGCGATGTTTGAAACAAGCCTAACACATCAGAAACGTCGTGCCTCGTGGAACTGACACAATTTATTTATTTATTGTGATGCTACATGCGACAACTCGAAATTTAAATTGTTTCACCAATAACCAAATTTTTTATATTCTAAAACTACATTTGCATTGGGAGCTGTCCCTGAAAGAATCCCCATGAGGCTAATATACTAAACTTATTTAAAACTATGTAAAAAATGTATGTAAAACTTTATTTCAATACGCTAACTTCGACAATTATTTACAACTGGTTTCCACGA